ATATATATATATATATATATATATATATATATATATATATATATATATATATATATATATATATATATATATATATATATATATATATATATATATGAACTTTTGTGACTTAGTTGGTTAGAGCGCTGCACTGGAATCGCAGGGCCGCAGAGTTCAAATCGTGCCAGAGGACCTGCATTATATTGCAGCTGTTTTTGTTAGGTGTAAATAAACAAAATCCTTCTAGTTCATCGAGCTAGATGCCCCCAATCCTGATATATGTTTACAGTCTCGTTTAATTTAAGATGGACAGGGGTGTAACTCCTGTGGGATTTTGGGTGGGGAGTGAACGACACCCCCCAATGTTGTATATAATATTGCAGTTTTATCGGGCATTTTAGCAATTTTAACGACACGCTCGTCGTGCAAAAATGTAATTCAGCAAAACAAATTTACATAATTTTTTTTAAAAAAATTGTAGGAGTATACATCCATGATGCATGCATTGCCATATACCAGGCCAAAAATACTAGTTATCACAATCAGTTTTATTAAGAAACATTTTTACGCACAAAATTTTAGTAGCAAATAACATATTTGCATGTCAACTTTCGAATTCCTGACCAAAGCCAAAAAGTTGCCAGGTTGAACTCTATTAATTTAGTAAAATTGGAGGACCGAAAATTTAAGATGAGCTAGCAGAACGAAGGAAATTAAATGACTTTAAAAATTTTGCAGATTACTTAATGTATTATACCGTTTCGGTTTAAACATGGATGTACACTCGTTAATTTCTAGTACAGTATGTTAAAGCAGAAATGTTGGTTCTAATTAGGTGTGGCTGTTACAATAGGTACTTACAGTATATTTGCTTACCTGTGCTTTGCAGAATTTTGACTTCTTGTCATAGCGAAAAACCAATAAATACTGAAAATGTTCAAGAAATGACCGTTTTTCATCCTTCGCTAAATTAGTTGATGAACATCTGGTTAATTAATCACGCACATTACTTGCACATGGCACCTTAATAACGAAAACTATAATTACATAATTGTTTCGGAATATTCGAAAACATGACCTTAGCGAAAGAGTATATACGTCAGTTTTGTCTCAATTTTTTACTTCTTACGCAATCATATATCGAAAATTAGAATAAGAAACCAATAGGTAACTAACTAGGGATCCAAGGATAGTGTGAAGTTTCAAACTGCAAGAACTATATAGGGTCGCCGACAACCTAGAAAAGCTTGATGGCTTACACTACGAAATAAACACAGTGAGTTACCAAAGGCATTTCATCTCATTATTTATTGCTTTTAATACGCTCGGCACACGAGTAGCGTGGCGTTTGAAACAAGCCTAACACATCAGAAACGTGCCTTGTGAAACTGATGCAATTCATCTATTTATTGTGTCACCAACAACCAAATTTTGCATATTGTAAATTTTCATTTGCATTTGCAGCTGTCGCTGAAAGCATCCCCACGAGGCTACTGCTATGCTAAATTTATCTAATAAACTATAATTGAAATAGCTGTATAAGATATGTTATGAATAATAAGCACTACGTCGTTACATCATTAAAACACTCATTTTATCCTCATCCGTTCCGTATTTTATCCGCATATCCGTTCCGTGAATCCGCTCCATCCGCTTCCGCATTTTAACTTAATTGTGACATGTTTCACAATAACAAGTTTCATTGACCTTTTAGGCCGTGGGATGCAGTGGCGGATTACCCAATAGGCTGAGTAGGCTGAAGCCTACAGGCCCGGGCTTTTGAAAGGCCCGTGATTTGGCAGAGAATGAATTTTTGATTTCTTTTACTTTTACTATTTTTTACTAAATTAAGCAATGAAATTATAGCTAATTTAGTAATGCTATTGCTACCTTCCTTGGTTTTCATGAATACTGACCCCTTGAACGTCACCGTACCGGCTACACGTAGTTTAGCTGCGCAATGTTCAGAATTCATGAAGTACTACCATCATCTTCTGGAAATTTCCGCTCGCCGCTTCCATGCATTTCAAAATTTAGTTTGAAATCACAGTTTTCCGCAGTTTTTCCGCAGTTATCAACACAAGCCAGGTAATGTAAAAGCAAAGAAACGGGAGGAGCGTAAACGTCGACAAGAGGATGAACTTCAGCGGATTTCAAAAATCCAGAAATTTTTTACCCCTGCTGCATGTGCACCTATAATACAGATTCGTTATTGTTAATTACCTACTTCAACAGAACATGTGAACGTTCAACGTGGTGCCTTCTGAATCGCTTTTAAATACACCTGACGCTACGCCAGTTGAAATGAATAATAGTGACGTTTGTCGGCCTTCTGGTGTTGAGGGCACGCTGGAAACTGAAGCCTGAGCTTGATCATGAGTCTGACAGACAAACTATTTGGGTGATATGAATTGCGACATCGGATTATGGCCTAATGGTAAGCTTCCAGACAACTTTGTCGAATACTGGGTGGAGCGTGGTGGTCAAGATTGCCAGCATATTGATGAAATATTTCCCAAGTCTGTTCAAGGTGACGGCAAACAGAAGAGGTGGTTTTCCAGATCTCTATTCTCTCGTACACATTCTCTTAACGGTGAGAAAATTCCACGTTCATGGCTGTGCTATTCACCTGCGACCGGTCGTGTATTTTGTTTTACTTGTAAGTTGGTAACATGTTCTGATAACAATGCCTTCGCTGGTATTGGTTATTGTGACTGGAAAAATGCTGTTTGCCGGATAGAAATACATGAAAACAGTCAGAGCCATCGTGTAGCATCCCTTGCAATGTTCAACAGATCTGATTCAAAGAATCGCGTAGACAATAAACGTTTATATTAGAGCAGCAGAAAGCGGAAGTTGCTTATTCCAGTGCGGTTCTGGAAAGAGCTGTTGCGGTAATCAAATACTTGGCAGAGCGTGGGCTTTCCTTTCGAGGACATGATGAACTCTTGGGATCTGTCCACAACGGGAACTACCTGGGAACACTGGAATGTTTGGCCCAGTTCGTTCCTTTCATTGCAGCCCATATTGAAAAATATGGAGGGAAAGGTAAGGGGTCAGTGTCATGCATCTCTTCTACGAATTGCAATGAACTGATCGATATCATGGGGAAAAAGTAAGAAAATTCATTGTTGATCAAGTAAAGGAAACGCAGTATTTTTCTCTGACTGTTGACTCAACTCCAACTATTTCACACATAGACCGTATAGCTTGCGTTTTGCTGTATGTACTTGAAGATGGTCCGGTAGAACGATTTATTCAGTTATTAGACATGAAGGGGCATACTGCGGAAGAGATTCTCAAAAGCGTGCACGTCCAGCTTTTTTGAAAGAACTACGAGAACATTCGAGCAGCTCTTGTCTCCATATAGAACGACGCGGATGAAGAAACAGCAACAAAACAGGACCAGTTGGAAAACTGCATCTTGTTGGAACTCTGGGAAACTGTTCTTGAACGATTCCACAAGACGTCCATGAAGTTGCAAAGTGCCGATCTGGATCTCAATGAAGCTGTCGCTCTCTTGGAATCTTTGATGAATTATACAACAACTCTCAGTGATTCGTTCGAATATTTTGAAGAAATGGGAAGATTACGCTCAAGATCAAAATCTTACAAAACAGAGGTGGGTCGAGAAAGCAATGGAAATGTAAGACTGACTTTAAATGATGGTGCAGCTAAAGAATCAGAATTCACTCCGAGCGTTCGTTTCATAGTTGAAGTGTATTTGCCTATTCTGGACAAGCTGCATGCTGAGCTCAACAAGCGTCTACAAGCCTATGTCAAGCTGTCGCATAAGTTTGGATTTCTTCACAATGTCTACAAACAGTTGAAAGATGGAGCGGACAATTTGGTACAGCAATATCCAAATGACTTGGAGCCATCTCTCGCAGAAGAGCTGGTCCATTTTCGTGAATATTTCAAGGGAAAGAATCTACCTCGCAAGGAAGATGCGTTAGATGACTCAGACGAAGCCGTAACGTTGAGCTTCAAATGTACCGTATTCTTGCAAAACAAGAAATCCACGACTGAGTTTTTCCAAACGTCGAAATTGCCCTGCGAATTTATTTGACATTAATGGTGAGCAATTGTTCAAGAGAACGGTCATTTTCGGCATTGAACCGCATCAAGAATGTGCTTAGGTCTACCATGACAGACGGGAAACTCAACAATCTATCTATAATGAGTATAGAGGCGGAGGTTTTACCAAAATCGACTTCCATGATATTATTAAAGAGTTTGCATCTCGTAAATGCCGCAAAAACAATTTTGTAAGTTTATTGATGTAATTCATGTAAATAACTATAAGAGTGTTGTGTTTGTTATAATAATTAATAACTGTCAAACGGTCAAGCCCCGTGTCATACACGGGTTTCATATTACTTGCTTTCACATTTTACTAAATTTAGTCTCTCTGTTTGGTGATGGCTAATGGTAGGAGTAGGCCATGGGGCCAGCAAGAGCGAAATGGCATTTTCGAGACCTTAAATATCCAACTAGTTGGACGAATTATGCGGCTCTGGACCCTCCTACGAGATGTGACACCGTCCATAGCCGCGAGAATACCATCTCAAGGCCCGCGAATTTTACTTAGCCTACAGGCCCCGCAACTAGTAATCCGCCACTGGTGGGATGAGCATCCAAAAGATGCAATTCCGTTGCACCCCTCGTGGAACTACGTAATTTTCACATGAATAAATAGATAAAAACTTACTTTATCAGAATCCGTTGCTCCCCAAGTGAAACAGGTGCACAATTGGGAGAAAAATCCCTCCAAAGTTTGATATTTTCGCGCTTCGAAATATTCGAACCGCCATTATTTTGGTAGCAAATACGCATGCGCAACTCAGCCAAACTCGCACTGCGCACGCGCAGACTATAAAAATAGATTCTCACTGGGGGATTTCCCCGATTTCCTCCGCAAAAACAACAAAATAAAATCACGGAATACTGATCAAACCTTGTAATATAAATACACCCACATTAAATATTGTTAAAAACACATTGTATATCTTGCTTGCTCATATGCTAAATCACTTCAATCATTGGCTATTGTTTCAAAATACCGTTTTAACGTTTAATTCTACTTTATATTAACATCCTAATTCAATACAAATTTGTGTGAGGTAAAAAACCCACCTGTATCAAACAGGACGGAGAATAAAAAATATATATGCATACAATTCACACGATCAA